AAACCAGTCTGGCCAACATGGCCAAACCCCGTCTCTACTAAAAATAAAAAAATTAGCCGGGCGTGGTGGCGGAAGTCTGTAATCCCAGCGACTCTGGAGGCTGAGGCAGTAGAATCACTGGAACCCGGGAGGTGGAGGCTGCAGTGAGCCGAGATTGTGCCACTGCACTCCAACCTGGGCAACAAGAGCAAGACTACGTCTCAAAAACAAAACAAAACACTTTAAACATTTACGGGACACTGACACAGAGAGAGGTCAAACCTGTGCCCAGTACGCACGGTTAGTGAGAGAAAGAGCTGGGAAGGGAACCCGGAGCTCCAGGCAACGACTCCTCTACCTACACCTGCCCTACCCGGTGCGTTTTCTCCCCCTTGCTCCCTGCTGGTGTTGCCTTCTGGAACCTTGGCAGTTTCTGCTTTCGTACCTGCAGGGTTTAGTCTCGGGGCTGCTTGGGTGGGCGCGGGGAACCTGTAACCCGGAGGCAGGACTACCCACCAGGCGAGTCCACCAGCGCCACCAAGACCTTGAAAGCCCGGGGCAGCCGCGGAACTCCATTTCCCAGCGCCCCGCGCAGGGGTGCTTGGACGTTACCATGGAGACCGGTCAGGGCCCCGCCTCTACGGCGAGAAACTGGCGGGAACCACATGACCCCGAAGGCTGTGCGTAAGCATCGGCGGCGCGCATTGGGCCAATGAGAAACGGAGGGCTGGACTTCCGGCGGTGGGGCTGTCACTTCGCGGCTCGCGTCAGGCCACACCGGTGGTCTGGGCCGGGGCCCGTGGGTTGGGGCCGGTTTCCAGGAGGTTCTCGGGGCCCGAGGCGGGCGGCGAGGAAGGTACTGGCTGAGGGCCCGCGTCGGGCCCGCCCTGCGCACGCGTCGTGACCCAGGGCGCCGGCCGCCAGCCGCGCCCCCTAAACCTCTGTTTCTCAGTGCGTCGTGGGCGTTCCGGGGGCTGTCGGCCGCAGCGGGAGCAATGCGCTCTCCCGCCGTACGGCAGCCCAGGAGGCCGCGCGCCGGGCGTTCCGCGTCCTTGACGGCCGGGGATGCTGCGGGTGGGGATGGCGGTGCCGGGTGGTCCACGCCTTTCTTCCCTCCCAGTTGCGGGTTCCGCTGCGACGGCGGCGCTGACAAGCCCGCGCCGGGGAGGCGGGGGAGCCCCTGCTCCCACAGACCGCGCCCCCACGGAGGGAGGCCGCTCTCTAGACCTCGCCTCATCGTGTTTCCTCTCCCTGCCCGGGGTGGTTAGGGTGTCAGTGCAAACCCCGGTGTCCAAGGCATGGTGGGCTCCCGACTTCCGGCAGCCAAGCGGCTGAAATCCTGAAGGAAGCTCGGAGGGGAGAGCCCCGAGTGTGCAAAACCCGGGAGGGGAGCTCGCGCCCCGGTGCTTCCGGGACTGAGCGCTCTCGACGTGGAGCTCGGGGGAAGATGGGCTGTGTGTGGCTGCAGTAGCGGGCGAGGAGGTGGGCTTGATCTCGAGGGCGTTGGGAGACATGGAAGGTTTTGAACAGAATCAGGACATACTCTGAGTTGGGGTTTTAAAATGGTTCCACCGTTTGCCGCGTGGAGAACAGACATGCAGGGGTGTCGGCATGAATGGAAGAACCTGTCTGGGCAGCTGTAGAGGTGACATCAGGTGAATTCCAGGTGCACCTGCGGACGCATCACGTGTGGGGTGGCTGAAGAACTACCCCATGTTCAGCCTGAGCGCCTGGAAGAAGGGAGTTGCTGTAAACAGAAAGGAGGATTAAAGGGAAAGGTTTCCTCCAGGGGAAAGATCAGGAGTCTGGGTTGTCCCAGGTTGGTCATGTCACTGGATCTGACGTTGCTGGTGTCCTAGGCTGTGGACGGGGCCTATGAATTGAATTGAGGAGTGGGTAGAAACTCAGCCAGGTGTGGGCAGTTATGGCTTGAGGGTAAAGAACAGCTGGGTTGCCTGGGGCTATCAGGGGAAGGGGAGGAGTGGAGCCGGCTGAGGAGGGGAGGGAGGCAACAGAGAGGGAAAGAAATAGAGGGGGCACCCTGTGGAAGGAAGAAGGGATTGAGTTCCTCTGTGTTCACAGGTTCTTGGGATGCTCCCCTGTGGCTACTGGTAAGAATCATCCAGTCTCTCAGGCTGCATGAGCAGCTTGGAAATGTCAGGCAAGCAGGCTCAGCAGGGGAGGGTACCAGTGATGGATATTCCTGGGAAGCCCCAGCTGGGACTTACACAGTTTACTGTTACAAGAGCAGAAAGGGCACATCTGAGGAGGGTCATGAGCGGTCATACTGAGTCATGAGTGGACACCTGCGGCTGCTCTTGGTGTGGCAACTGAGGGCCCAGCCAGGACTTGCTCTAGACTGCTTGTATGGAGTGGCCAGTGGGGAGGCCAAGAAGGCATCTGTGTTGTGGACAGGAGGGGAGGGGTCCCAGACATGTGAGGGAAGTGCCATCTGAAGATAGCCGGGGCAGAACCCAGGGAAGGAGGGTGAGTGTCCGAGGGACATCATGGGAGGTGGCCGTTGGGATGGGGAGCTTGATCCTGGCTCACAATCATACCTTAACCAAGCTTGTCCAACCCCCAGCCCAGGATCGCTTTGAATGTGGCCCAGAACAAATTCTTTTTTTTTTTTTTTTTTTTTTTTT